ATAGTTATAAGAAAAATTAAAACAACTGTGTAAAATTTTAATGAAAACAAAACAATCTACACTGTTATACATTTTTTTTTATTATTATTTAAAAAAAGCAAAATTCAAATATGTATGTCTGTACATATAATTGTGCCAAACAAGTCAAATAATAATAATTATTGAATATTTATAGACAATGATTTTTGCTTTATAGTGTACATAACCTACATACATATATAAAGTTTACGGCGAATTATTTTTGTTTTTATTTTTTGCTGACCTTAAATAAATTAATTACTTGTTCCACATAATTTATGGAAATGTTTTAAGAATGCTTACAATAATTATTTTAATTAAATATTTGTTTTTAAATTTTAATAGACCATACCCAAATATTCAGGATTTTGAAAAGTAACATAAGTGTCAAATTACTTACATAACAATATGTTGCCGCCAAAAATTATTTTAAAATTCGAGAATAAAGGCATTCAAATTTAATTTTTATTTCTTTTTTGGTATTAGCAAAATGCTAAATTTTGTTTTTAAGAGAATGATCATGTATCTCGTTTTTTTTACTCGCCAAGTGAGAAGAAATTTACACTTCACGTTTTTTCTAAAATGTGATAAAATTTAGTCATTATTCATTAATTTTACTTTTGAAGTTTATAGGTTCAATTGATGTTTTCGAAAAAGAATTCGAAAAGTGAGTAAAGTATTCAATGAAAAATTTGAAAATTCTGATTTGAAGGGGTATCGAAAGCGAAACGAGTGTCCAATAGTACACGAAACATTTCAACTAAAAATGAATTTCCTTTTACACATACATATTTTTCAATCAAGACTTGCTTGTATTACAATTCAAAAATACTTTTATATAGGCTTTAAAAAAGAAACATCAAATGTGACAAAATAATTGAACTCCCACAATAATCTCTTTAATTAGTGATTTGTAGATGGTCACTTAAATCACTTGTTATATGTATGTAGTAATTTTTTAACGAAAAATCAAAATGTGCTAATAAAATTGTAGGAGTAATTTCTTCCCATTCTCATAATTTTGTGTAATCAACCTACAATTTAATCTGTGTTAAAAAAAATTTATTTTACATTTTTGCTCTAATTTTTAAATTCATCTTATCTTAAAAGCCATAGACAAAGTATACATACAGACATACATATATTGTTCTAAAGAAAAAAAATATTTTGAAATTTAATAAAACTAAAAGACCTTCAAGTTATCCAACTAGATAGACTTAAAAATTTTATTTCAATTAAAATAAGACAACGAATTTATTACATCATGCATAAATATAAGTACATGAACCATATGTATATATACGTGTACATAATCGTACATATATGTATGTATTAATAATTTACAATATATTTTGGTATAAATTATATTTAATATTAGTCATTCAAAAGTAAAAGTTTACAACTATGTAGCTATATACATTTGTTATTTGAAAATTGTTATTTGCAAATTACAGGGTGGTTCTTATAAAAAATAATATTTTAATACAAAAATTATTCTTTTGAAAAATTGGAATAGACAAGAATCATAAAGGAAATTAGAATTATTAAGATTAAATCATAATGGATATAAGCCTAATAAACCTGTTAGCTTATTATTTTTTCCCACTTTTAGTTACATAAACCAGTTTATTATAGTTTACGCAAAATTTTAATAATACAAATTCCCTAATACGCTAAAAAGAAGAAAGAATAAATTGTTAATTGCAAATTTTTTAATTCTTTCATTATTTCGATTACGATAACTAATTTAGCCATAGCTGTTTTAATTATTTTACGATTAAAAATATTTGAGGATCACGCAATGATCTTTAAATTTATGATTTTACAAAACAATTCGCTCTTGCATTTACATAATTTTTTTTTTCATATATTAATATTAAAATTTTAATAATCATTCCCTCTTTTATATTTTACTACCCCAATTTAAAAAAAAATTATATGACCTTTGATTAAAATGTGATGTTACAATTTTTTTTTTCGTTAATAGAAAATATAAATATTATTGTTTACTTTGATATGACACTTTGACTGTTATGAACAGTGCTGGATTTGTACTTCTAAGTTGAACAAATTACAGCCCGGGGCTACACTTGTACGAACTTTAACATGCTTTAAACTTTATTTTTAATTGCAAAACTTTAAATATTATAAGTACAGTGTATTTATATAATTTACAAGCATTTTCATTCGCCCTTAATGATAAAAACTAAATGAGTGCAATTTTTTTTTTCATAAAATATTTGAAATTTCTGTTTGCATGATTGAAGTGATAAAATTAAATTTATGTAATTAAAAGAAATAATATAATTAGATAGAGAGGGTATTAACAATTAGCATACAAATAGTATGTTCTAGTCGTTTTATTTGAGAAAATATGAGTTTATCATTAATAAAAACAGGATAATTTGTTTGAATACTTATTATTATTCCAAAAATATATGCCTTTAATTAAGAATTTTATATATGTAAAATTCTCTTACTACATTGAAAATTTTATTGGAAATGCTTTTTAATTGTTTAATAGTTTTCAATATATGTATGTATCAGCGTTATTGATTTTTTACTAAGCTAATAAATTATCAATTGTGTCTTTGAGACACATTTTCGTTGATTTCAATAACATAATAAAACCGCGGCTTCTGATTCAGTTAATCCGACTCTGGTTATGAATTATAATTATGCAAAATATTACACAACAGTTGTAACGAAATCTTTATATTCACTTAACTCTTATAATACTTAAATTTTTATAAAGCAGAAGGAATTGCTGTCATAAATAGATTTGTGTATTGTTTAATCAGTTTCTCAACGTGTTTATGTGATTTTTTTTTCCCAGCTTGTTTTTTTCGCCAACTTTTTTATTATTTTTAAATACCTGAAAATGACTAATATTTCTAAAGAATTTCCGTTACTTACATTTTTTGTTTTCGATTAAATTTTGATAAATCTTAATTTGCCGATTATTAATTGCCGGAAAACTTCAATAGTTCTAAAAATAAAAAAAGCAATTATTTTAATTTTAATATCTTAAATAAATTTATGTGTCCTTTCTTTGATCTACAATTAATTTTCATCTTAATTACAATTGTGGCTTAAAATGAACTTTTAGCAAAAAAAAATTCAAAGACAATAATTCACAATTCACAATAATTTTTCTCTATTGTGTGTTTGATTTATTGTTCACAAAGCATTATTGTCGAACGCTTTTTTGTCTCACATTTATCAAAATTTAGATGACAGAACAGCAATAGTTTTTGTAGTTAAATAATGTTTTAGAAAAAAAATATGCATATGTGTGTACATAAATAGGTGCTTAATTTTCTATGTTTATATTTTTTTCACTTTATTACTGACAATTCAAATAAAGTGATAGTTAAAAAAGAAAACACACTGTTGTTGATTAAAAAAGCGTGCCTTGCAGAAAATTTTTTAATATTTTACATTTTTACTGTTTTTGTTTTTGTTGTACATAATTGTAATTTTATGATTTTAGAATTTACTTATATGTACATACATGTTATGTAATTTTCCCTTTACTTATTTGTTCAACACTATATATTAGTAAAAGTGTGTACAATATACAACATTATTAAGTAAAAATCAGGATGAACACATATTTTAAAGTGATTTAATTAAAAATGCTATTAATATCTGATTAAGAATTTCAGTAATTATTGTTCTGTTAACAATGGAAGAGGGTGTATGCGAAAATGAAAATTGTGAATGATTTCAAAATTGATATAGATCAAAAATTGTAAATTTTGAGTTATTAATGTTTGATTTTTCAGAATTCATGCTATAGGAAAAAAATTATAGTTTTTGAGCCCATAATTATGACCAGCTTGTGACCACAGCTTGTAGTAGTTACTCGTATTATTTTGAAGGCATTTTTATACTGAGCATTTATAAAAAATATTTTTTTAGGTGTCAAGACAATTATTCGGTTAAATTCATAAAATTTAATCGATTATAGAATTACTTTTAATTTTAAATTTTATTTGTGCAGAACAGATGATGTAGGTTATAAATTCTTATCTACCATTATTAACATTTATAAATCTAAAATACTCAAAAAAACTTCGTAAGTAATTACATGAGTTTGTGATTTCTAAGCATTCAATTGCAGTACCACTGTAATGGCCAGCCTTTGTTTTCAATAAATCATGGAAAATGCAAAACATGTTTTGAGGATCTTAAAGAGAAATAGCTGGATCAATGCTATGCAATGCTAAGTTTGGGATGAAATGAAAAAACCACAGAAGCAACATTGCTAAATGCTAAAAATTAAATTTAAAATAGAAGATTGTGTTCCATTTTTACGTAGAAATCTCTAAAGAAAAGCTTATAAAAACAAATGTAATTAAAATGAAGTATCATAGGTGCACGCAAGTCAAGAGAAAAGAAGAAGAGATACAATTTTTGAAGATTTTTGATAATTTTTTTTTTGATAAATTTCATTTTATCAATAGTTTTAACTTCGTCTACCTAACTTGATCGTTTTGATGATTTTTCGTAGAGAATTCATTTAAAAATCATTAAAATTTCTTATCTAAATTTTTCGTTCCAATAAAAAAATTTTGGATATTTAGGGTATCGTTGATGATATGATAAGAAAAAAAATTATTAATTAAAATTCTTTTTATTAAAAAGAATTTTAAAGAATTTTGTTTAGGACAATGTAATCAATGCGAGGACCTAGAAGACACTTCCAAATTAGAAAGTGCTAATTGCATTAAGTGCATCACACGCATATGCAGGCATTCTAGCAAGGTGCGTAAAATCAAATAGCACAATTGATCATATTACATTGGGAGTTGAATTGTACTGTTGCAATAATTAATAATTTGTTGATTAATCCTTTGTCTAAATCATCGAAAAATTGATTTCTTGTCGTATATAATTTTGAAATTTTACTAAAAATTTTAAATAAAGCTTAAATAACTTGTATTACATTAAAAATATTGTTTTTTTTCTTTTAATAGAAAACTCGGATTGGATATGGTACCAAGGAATGGTCCATTAGCTGTTGACCCTCATGAAATAGGAATTGTTAAATTATATGAAGTTCATGTAGCTTCTGACAATGCTAAAACTACTTCAGTAAATTTACAGTTTAAATAAATTTATTATTTAATAATTTTTATTTTTAATTTAAGCAACGTGGTACATTACGAGCTCCTGTTCGAAAGCATTTAAAAAAACCACCACATCATCTCTATATGTGTATGAGAGATTTTGGTCATAGAATTGGTGATGAAGCTGAAATATATTTTTCATTATTTCATGCTAATTCAAATCGAATGCGCCATTTATCAGAAAGATTCGTTGTGAAAATTTCCAAAGAAGGTTTTTCCAATTATGCTGAAAAATTAAACAACAATTGTACAGTTTTTAGAGATTTAGGTAAAAACTTATATTATAAAGGTTCAGTATTAATATATATATATATTTTTTTGGGGGGTTTCAATAGGAGCTGCAGATTTAGGTGAAGATTTATATTTAGTTGCGGTTGTGGTTAGAGTAGGAAAAATAATTCATTCCGAATCTATTAAAAAGATTGATAAAATATCAAGTACTGCTGCTTTTCGTAGACCCTATGGTATTGGAGTTTTAAATTTAAATGAAGTGTGCCAAATTGAAAGTACAATGGAATCGGAAGAGAAGGAGTTTAGTTTTAAGGTTAATATATACATATAAAATCCGTAACAATAAGCTTCACATCAATTTCATTTTTAGATATATCAAACAGAAGAAAAAGATTTTTATCAATTGCATGAGTTAATTATTAAGAAAATTAGCGGAAAATTTTCACCGCTTAATACTGGAACGGCAAATACAAGCGGAATTACGGTTTCGTTAAAATTATTGCATGGTGCTTTGACCCAAGCACGACAGGAACAGCCTCTTCTATTCCAAGATACACCCATCACACAAAAATTGGGATTTCCTGACATAATAATGCCAGGTGATGTACGCAACGATATGTTTATTACATTAGATAGAGCTGAATTTGAACGAGGTGGTAAAACTACAGCAAAAAATATTGAAATAACACTAAGCGTCTTGGATGTACATGGAAATATTATTCAAGGTTCTCTTTGGGGAGCAGCAGGAATGAATGTTCAAGAGAATTACAAATCAATGATATTGTATCATCAAAATCAGCCATGCTGGAATGAAACTATTCGACTTAGTGTTCCTATAGAAAAGTTCTCTAATGCACATATAAGATTTGAATTTAAACATGTATCTACACGAGATAAATCTGAACCGAAATTATATGGTTTTAGTTTTGCTAATTTAATGGAACCAAGTGGTGCAACTTTATCAGATGGTTCACATGATCTTTGTGTTTATAAATGTGAAGATATTAATAAACTAATACCAGAAAACTATTTGAAATTACCGAGTAAATCGACTGATACAAAACAGTCATTCGAAAGTAATGCATTATTTAATCGAAGTTCAAAGGAATTTTTTGCTATAAAATCGCTCTTATGCTCAACGAAATTGACCCAAAATAGTGATTTGTTATCTTTATTACAATGTGACAGGAGATCTCATCCAGAGAAAATACAAGAGTCACTAACTGGTGTATTACGTTTGCGTGATGAGGAATTGGTAAAATTTTTACAAGATGTTCTAGATGTGCTATTTGCAATGTTTTCTAATGAAGAGGGGAACAGTACTGAACATTCTGGTCTTGTATTTCATGTTCTTGTCAGTATTTTCAATATACTGCAAAGCAATAAATTTCAACATTTCAAACCGGTTATGAATGCTTATATTGATGATCATTTTTCTGCTGCTCTTGTTTATAAAGGTTTAATAACCTCGGTTGAACATCTTGCACACTTCATGACCAAAGCAGAACATCACGAACCATTTCAAAAATGTTTTAGTTCGTTAGAATATATCTTCAAATTGATAATTCAATCGCGCAAATTATTTGCTCGAGCTACAGGTGGACAATATGAAGATACTTTTAAAAGAGATCTGTATTCCCTTTTTCATTCATTAAATGATATGCTAAGAGTTCCGAGCACTGATGTTGTCGCGCCCACACAAATAGCGCTATTACACAGTACAGGTGTGGTATTAGAACAATTAAAAGATACTTTGCCAGCTTCAGAACTGGGTTTTTTAGCAAAAAATATGTTATCATCCGTGCCATTAGATTCCCCACAAAAATTAATTCAAGCTAAATTGCAAGCTGTTTTAGATTTAGTTTCTGGAAAATTATTTCTTGATGATGGTAAGTAATGACTAAAATAATTTTTTTCTAATTGAAAATCATCAAAATATTCTATTTTTGATCATGACAGCATCAAGATCAGATATTTTAGCTGTTGCCTGTGAGCATCTTAAAATTCATCTTGAAAAATTAGATGAACTTCAAATATGTTCTAAGATTTTGGCACAAATCTTATCACATTTACATCAAGTGCAAGGATTACAAAAGGATAAAATGACAAATACATTGCATCATGACCTAGATTTACTTTGTCAGAATTTATTAAATATTTTAATGCACGCAGTTTTTGAATTCGTTGGAGGAAACAATACCGTTTTACCTTCCCTCGTTTCCAATTTATTGGGACTTTTGCAATTGTTAGAAGAAGCACATTTTAAACATTTTTGGGATAAGTTAACTATGAATGGTAGCACATTAAACCTAAAGGATTTTATCCGTAGTGGATTATATGTATTCCAAGAAATCTTAACACCAAAATATGATATATTTCAAGAAGATTGGTTTGTTATTAAATTGGCTGCCAATGATGTTATAAGAAAATCTTTAGAAGAATTTGCAAAACCTCTAGTCTTTACATTTTTAGATGCTAATTCATTTGATTCTCAATTGTGGTGGGGATATTTTAGTTTAGCAGTCATTTTTTTGACACAATCTCTATTGCAATTGGAGCAATATAATGAATTGAAACGACGAAAAATATTACATTCCTATGGGGACATGAGAGTATTAATGGGTTTTCAAATTTTAAGTATGTGGTCACATTTAGATGAACATAAATTACATTTTATACCATCAATGGTTGGACCATTCTTAGAAGTTACACTTGTTCCCGAACAATCGTTAAGAAAAGCTACATTGACAGTATTTTATGATATGATGGAATATGATCAGGTATGGACTGCATAAAAAAGCTTGAAAATTTTTACATAAGTTTATTTAAAAGTTAATTTTTATTTGGCTTTCGAAAGCTTTAACAATTATTTTTGAACGTCATCTTAACAAGTTAAAAAAATGTTCTTGTTAGATTCTTCTGCCTCTACCAATAAGTTCTGGAATTTTTTTCTCGAATTCCAAAACAATCTATATTTTACATTAAAAGCTATCAATTATAGTTATGGTATAAGATAAACGAAAAAATTTCAATTTATTTCCAAAAAAAGTGATATAAAAACAAAAAAAGAAAGCATTAATTTTACAAAATATGTTTAAAATTTTAGGCTGCACGAGGATCGTTCCGTTTAGTTGAAAGTGAATTAATTGATAAACTTGATCAGCTTATAGGGGAAAACAAAGGTGATGACGATTACAAAGAGTTATTTAGCAAAATGTAAACTAATAAAGCCTTAATTAAAATTGGGTCAAAATTAATAATTTCTTTCTTTATAGTTTACTCGATAAAGTTTATTGTGAAAACCCATCATGGAAAGAAGCTGGAGTAGCTTTTATATCTTCTGTGTCTCGACTGTTAGAACGACTACTAGATTATCGAAATGTTATGCAAGGTGATGAGAACCGTGACAAACGAATGTTCTGTACTGTTAATTTATTGAAATTTTACAAAAATGAAATTAATCGTAAAGAGATGTATGTGAGGTAAGTATTTTAATATTCAAAATGAATTTGAATCCGATAAATTGAATTTTTAAACAAAAAAATTAAATTGATTTTTTTCGAAGGTATATATATAAATTGCACGACTTACATTTCCAAGCTGAAAATTATACTGAAGCTGGTTTCACTCTGAAATTGTATGCTGATATGTTAAGCTGGAATAAAGAGGAACTAATTTTTGCCCCAAATGAAAAGAATGCTCGTCCTGAATGGAAAGTAAAGGAGATTCTTTACTATCAGGTAATAACAAAAAAAATTTTGAAATAAGTCTGCAAGTCGTTTTTTTTTAAATTTACAAAAAGAAAGAGTATAAGATTACCATTATATATTATGAGCCGAATTTCCATTTATTGTTTAAGTTAGTTATTTATTACCCATCAACATATTCTTATAACTTTAAATATAACCTTATTATTTTCACTTAATCCACTTTAATCTTAAAAACTATCTATCCAGTTTAAAATACGTACTTCCACTTAAATCTCTTTCTATTTCAATAAATAAAAAACTGCAATTTATATTTTCTTTATTTACAGATTCTAAGATATTTCGATAAAGGTAAATGTTGGGAAAAAGGTATTCCACTATGCAAGGAACTAGCTTCTTTATACGAAAGTGTTCGATTCGATTACATCAAATTAAACGAAATACTAACAATGCAAGCAAAATTCTTTTTGAACATTATTAATCAACTAAGACCGGAACCAGAATATTTTCGTGTTGGATTTTATGGAATGAATTTTCCTTTATTTTTGAGGGTATTATATTTTAAGTACATATTTTGAATTTTTATTTATTGAATTATTACTTCAATTAGAACAAGCAATTTGTATATCGAGGTCTAGAGTATGAAAGAATCGGTGCTTTTACGCAACGTATTCAAATTGAATTCCCGCAGTCTCAAGTATTAACAAAAAATTCAACACCAGATAAATCAATCATGCTATCAAATAACCAATATATTCAAATAAGTAATGTACGTCCTGTAAGAGATGGACAACTTTTTAGAAATGCGATGGTACCGGTTCCTGAAAAAATTGCCAAGTTTTATCAGGTAATAATTTTGTATAAATTTTATGTAAAAATGCAATAATTTTGAAAGTAATTTTTATTACATAAAAAATATAGATTTGACAATTTTTTAATGAAATTTTTTAATTTTTAGGTGAACGATATTACAAAATTTATCCATGACAGACCCATCTACAAGGGAATCGTGGACAAAGAAAATGAATTTAAAAGTTTATGGATTGAAAGAACAACAATGGAAATTGAATATCCCCTACCTGGCATATTACGATGTTACGAGGTGGTTACGAAATCAATGCAAGAACTAACTCCTATAGAATTTGCTTGCGAAACAATGGATAATGTTAAAAAGGAATTATATGATTTAATAGTGCAATATCGAAATGATCCTAAACGAAACATAAATCCATTTTCAATGAGATTACAAGGCATTATAGATGCCAATGTGATGGGAGGAGTTTCTAAATATCAAGAAGCTTTCTTCAGTGAAGAATTTTTAAGCTCATGCGGCCAGAGTCAGTTACAACATGTACACAAATTAAAAAGTTCAATTTTGGAACAAATACAAGATTTGGAAACTGCTTTAGAATTGCATGGCGAACTTGCACCAACGGGTGTTCAGCCATTGCATTCTAGACTACTGGAACGATTCAGCCAATTGAAACAAAGTTTGTCTGGACTGGGAAAACCGAAAAGACAAAATTCTGAAAGTATTATAAATACACCATTACCCCCTTTACCAACTGAAAAGCTTAAAGCCGCTTTTAATAACTACGGCATTTATGAATCGGATGAAATTTACACAAGACCAGGAGAATTTCAAAAATATGAAGATAAATGCTTACAAGAAAATTCATCTAGAAAAAAATATTCTGACAGTGTTAACAATATTGGGCAAGGTCCTCCTCCAATTCCAGTTCGTCCAAAATCAGCTGGTTACATTCCATTTGAAAATTCACAAAATAATAATTCTTCGTCCATACAGTCAGCACCACCATTACCGCCAAGGGGAATAACACCAGATAAACGTTCTTCAAATCCTTATATATTTGGAGAAACTATAAACGATTTACAAGAAAACAATAGTATTAAAGTTAGTCATAAGTATTCAGTGGTAAATATTAGTTTGGAAGGGCCCGAATGTGACGCTGCCCTTTCATCATGTGCCGAATTCAAAACTAAACTCTTCCAAAGGGATAGAGATTCAAGCATATCATCTAGTCTAAATGAAGTGAATGATTTAAATGATTCAAATAAATTTGATAGCACAAATCATCAAACGCCATCATCACAAAATGATGAACAATTGAATATACAGCCAAATTTATGTAACAACCAAATAAAAAACGCACCGCCAATCCCTCCGAAATCTTTAAATATAAGTGTTTGTGATATATCAGTATCATGTGCAACTCAAGATAGCGGAGATTCAGGATATTCGTTTCCTAACGTACATCAAAATTCTGACGCCAAATAGTTTATAATGTCTTACAATATGAAAAATTTTAAGAATATATTATGTTATAAAATATATTTATACAAACACAAAAAAATATTGAAATAGTAATAATGTAATCATTTTTGTATTATTTCATTTAATAAAAGAAAAATTTCTTATAATCTTGTATTCTTGAAAATAGTTATTTTACTTCAATTCTTCTGTACATGAAATATGGATTATACGAAAACAAAAACATCTTTTAAAAAAAATTATATATTTTTATTTCTATAAATTACATTATTACTGGAACTGTGGCGAAAACTAAATTAAATTATAATTTTACATTATAACTAAATGATATTAAAGTACATTTACAATTCATCATGCTCTGAATTGTCATTTGTGTCATCCTCTGTTTCATCTTGTCCAGATTTATTTTCAGTATCATTATCAGCCTCATTACTCTCTTCTTCATCTGGTTCTTCAAAATCATAGTTATCATCCGCAGATATATCTAAGCTCTTCATCAACATTTTATCAATTGTATCTGCATATTCTGCAGTTTCTTTTAACATATAACCAGATCTTAAAGTAGCAGTCTTAACTAATGTTTTGGCGATTTCTAAAGCAGTGCTATCGTTTTCATCTGCTTCAACTCTACGCAACAATTCTTTAATAAGTGGATGTCTTGGATTAATTTCTAATGTTTTCTTTTGATTTAAGTAATATGATCTCTGTGGATCATCTGATTTTTGATGAGCATTTGACATTGCTAATCTTTCCATATTACCGGTCCAGCCAAACATACCAGCTACCAATGCACAAGGCGATTTGCTTAAACGTTCAGAAATTTCCGCCTTAGCGATATAGTCTTTCAAGTTATTATCAAACCATTTTGTAAGAGGGGCGTATTCTTTTGAAAGCTGTTGAACATTTTTGCTTGGTTCATTTAAACTAAAACCTTCCTTTGCTATATTCTGGAATTTTTTGCCATCGAATTCCGGTAAGGCAGATAAACAATATTCGTCAACAGCCTCAACTAAATAAATTATTTCATAACCTTTAGCAAGCAAACGTTCAACGAAAGGTGATGTTTCAACTTCGGTACGGGATGCACCAGCGATATAATAGATTCTTTCCTGTTTCTTCTTCATTCTTGCTGTATATTCTTCTAAACTAGTTAATTGTTTTGGGTCTTTTGATGATTGAAAACGTAAAAGTTTAGCTAATCTAGATCTATTGCTTGGATCTTCCATAATTCCAAGTTTTATGCTGAAATCATATAGAATTTTGTTAAATAATCTGAAATACTTATTAATCGATTTAAAGACTTACTTCGTGGAATATTCCTGCCAGAATTTTTGGTATTGTTCTTTATCTAATTTCTTTAACATATCCAATACTTTTCGAACTAATTTCTTTTTAATTACTTTAATTAATTTATGCTGTTGAAGAGTTTCACGAGAAACATTCAATGGTAAATCGTCCGAATCAACCACACCACGAACAAAATTTAAGTAATTAGGCATCATGTCATTGAACTCATCAGTAATAAAAACACGGCGTACAAATAATTTTATATTATCAGATTTCGTACCATATCTATTGAAGCTTTCTGATGGTTGAACTTTAGGTACAAATAATAAAGATTTGAATGTAACTTCACCTTCAGCTACAAAATGAGTATAAGCTAAGGGTTCTGTTTTATCTTTTGTTATGCTCTTGTAAAATTCCATGTATTCTTCTTGTGATACATCAGCTGGTTTTTTTGTCCATAAAGGTTTATTTTCATTGAGAATTTGCCAGTCCCAAACAGTCTTTGTTATTTTTTTAGTTTTTGGTTTCTCTTCTGCATCATCTTCGACCTTAGCATCATCATCAACATCTTCCTCAGATTTGTTTTCTTCTGGTGCACCAGCTTCTTCTGCATCGATTTCTTCCTCTACTTCTTTACTTCCCCACATATAAATTGGGAAATTGATAAATTGAGAATATTTTTGAATTAGTTTTTTAACTGTATCTTCTTCTAAGAAATCACGTGCTTCATCTTTTAAATAGAGTGATATAACAGTTCCACGTTTTAATGAGTCTCCACGTGGATCTTCAACGATACTGTAACTACCAGAGTCACTTTCCCAAATGTATTGTTTGTCATCGTTGTGTTTACTTGTTACAACAACTCTTTCAGCAACTAAGAAAGCCGAATAAAATCCAACACCAAATTGTCCAATCATATCATTTAAATCTTGAGCATCTTGACTATTTTGCATTTTTGATAAGAAATCAGCTGTTCCAGATTTGGCAATTGTTCCTAAATTATTAATTAAATCAGTTTTTGTCATACCAATTCCACTATCAATTATATGAAGAATTTTATTTTCCTTATCAGCTTTAACTTTTATTTCCAGTTCAGGATTTGTTGATAATTGGTCACGATCAGTCAATGACAATAATCTTATTTTATCCAAAGCATCTGATGCATTTGAAATGAGTTCACGAAGAAAAATTTCTTTGTTTCGGTATAAAGAATTGATGATAAGTTTCATCATACGATTTACTTCTGTTTGGAATGTAAACTTTTCAGACTGAAAAATAAAATGAAAATTATTTATTCTTATTAATATTATGCAAATATGTGAGATATAAAAACTATATATATATTTGTAGTTAATATCGTACAATTTTATGCAAGTTAGTACCTATATGTATATACGCATGTTATTAAATAAATTCAATTATAAAGTGTATATTTAAAGTGAATCACTCCAGTTTTTACTTGCTTTCTAATTTAATTCAAGATTCAAGACTGATTTTTATTGCATTATTGTTGGAAGGATCGATTATAATTAACAATTCCTTTTCTATCCAGTTTATAAAAATTAATAGCTTTCTTGTAATGTTAAACTCAAAGTTAGATTAAATTTATTTTAGAAAATTATTAGAAGTTCGAAATACGATTTTCCAAATTTGAATAGATTCATACTTACTTTACTTATCTGCCTATTAAAAATTAATATTTATTTAAAAAAAAATGCTAAAATATATTTAAACAAATGTTAATCGCAAAATCCTAAAAATTTTTCATATAATCTGAAAAATTTAAAAAAATTGCCTACATATCACTTATGTTTTTTTTTATCATATTGGAATAAATATTTGTGTATCCACCTCCCTACACAAAAAAAATGTAATCAAACTGTTATTCTATTAGTAAATTCGGCTGTATAAATAGATGAAATAAAAACACATTTTACTCAAGCATTTTAGTATTTAATGTGAAAAATTTTGAAAACGTCATAGAAATGAAAAACAGAATCGCAAAATTATAAATCTTGCTTGACTACAAGCTTTTCTCAAAAACCTACATACACATGTATTCCTTAGATTAACTTAGAATAAGCACGGCTTTTAAAATACATTACGTGGCCTAGAATACTAAACTTAAAATAACAAATAAATTATCAACACTAGTTTAAAAAATCATCTTCCACAAAAATATTCTTTGACTTAATGAATGTGTTGTCTCCTTATGTATACATATCTTACCAACATGTTATATATTATACATACATACATATATTATATTGTATTTATACTCAAATTTAATTTCGATAATTTTTACAACTGAAGTGCATATTAAACAATTAATAATACAAGTTATTTTTTTGCATAAATTTGCAAATCGTATAAAATGAGGTTATAAATGTTACTAATTGACCGGTTAAAAATTATAATTTTACCTGTTCCCTTAAGTTTTTAATTTCCTGTATACTCAATCCATCTATATTAATGGTGTCCGCCTCACGAGCTACTGTTTCAGGATCTAAGAGATAATTTTTCTTATAAGATGAATTCGCTACGAGAATTGACAAACTTACCAGTCATTGAACCTTTTTTACTAACTGTAATATCTGGGTCCGCCGTTCCTACATCTTCTAAATCTATTTCATCTGCCTTACATTCATACCCTATTTATAAAATCGCATAAATTATATATGTATTATAAATTTATTGAATTTTTTTTTATCTCACCTAATATGAGGAGTAAAGATAATACAATAAAAACCTTGTGTTTTTTCATTTTGTTGTATTTAAATAATTATTTTTAATCTAAACTTTAAAACTGAATTAAACTTTTACAATATTTTATTTTAAATGCTTATATTCTTATTTCTTGATAGAAATTACTAGATGAGATGAATCAAACTTGAAAGTTACTAAATGAAAGATACAATTAAAAACCAATGTACTGAATTTTATTTCAAGCCGAACAGGAGGGATCAAAATCTTATTGGTTGACGTGTTCTTTTGTCAGGTTGTGAAACTTGAAAATTGCTATAAAGTGATAGATAGTGCTTAAATTGCACAAGTAGCAAAATGTAGCCTAAATTTTTTGTGACTATTTGAAATAGCTGGCAGTTATCTGCCATCGAAAAATAAATAATAACAGTAACAAGCATTACCATATGTGTATATACATATATGAAAAAATTGATTTCAGTTTTCTGAAAACAAATTTCATTTCAAAATCCTTTGTAAATTTGTTAAGAAAAATTGTAGGTACGGGAATTAATTTTAATCAAAAAGATGGAATATATTTTAATTAGCTAATTAAAATATTCAAGTCAATTTTAAATATTTGATTTTAATATTAATTATTAATTATTTAAAATTAAGTTAATATTATTATTAACTATAATGTACATGTAAGCGGTGAAATATCAAAACTCATAATATAGAATACAGATGTCGTCGCCTGAATATAATTCTGATAAAAACGTCACTTTCGTAATTTTTGACTTAAGAACACTTTAACAGATTTCCGAGAATGTTTTAGACTATGCAATCTATTTTTCTCTACTTAATTTATTATTATTGTACCCCTACTATACTTAAAACTACAGGACAAAATTAAACAGTACTTTTTTTTGTATAGATGGTTTATTTTATTTTTAAAAAAGATTATATGTATGTAACAAAAAAAATTTTTTTCAATATTATCGACAAAAATTTTGCGGATAAATTAATTTTAGTAGGTTTAAAAAAAAATATATTACCGTTTATTTAATTTTTTAGTAATAATTTGACAGTTATGTAACAACTCGTAAAACATTAACGCTATTTTCGGCTCAAATTCTTTTACCTACAGCATAAACCTACCTAATGTCATAAAAGTTTAACGTCAACTGGAATATCATATTATGTTAAAAATGATATATTTATTATTTACAATTTTACAATCATAATTATAACTTTTAGGGTGCTACCTACCCAAGTATTATCAGATAACTGAGTTCAAATTTAATATGGTCTTTTAAAAGAATTTTTTATTTTGGCAATTATCAAATACACAATTAAACAAAAGAATTTCAAATACTCAGCAAAAATAGTTAATGCAAAAATCGCTATGGATTATGAAACATTAATTGTCAAAAATATACCAAAATCTTTAAAACTAGCTGAGTATTTTAAAAAAAATCATAATGCTATAGCAGCTCGGTATTATGGAAGAGCAAGAGCTGTGGTTCGCTTTAATAATAAAAATGATGCCAAAATTGCCTTAACAAACCTGCATCAATCTGAAATAAATAAACACATAATTTCAGCGGAATATTTAGGAAGGCGAAAACTGGTAAAGCCGCCTAATGAACACGTACAAGAGAATATGGACGAAGTTGAAAAAAACTTACCTGATTTTGCGAAAAAGTTATTATCAATGTCTTCAATTCACGGTTTCAATCATCCACCACCACCCCATTTAGTATATTGCTATCCAAAAATTAATCGCGACATTTTAGATGCAATATCAATTAGTTTATTGTCTAATTCTAAATTTTATGTTCAAGTTCTACATTTAATGAATCGTATGAACTTAGAGCCACCATTCCTTGAAAGTAAAAGGTCTTTTGTCCCGCCAGGTGAGCTCAAACACGTCCAGACACAGACCGATTTTGAACGAATGGAAAAGTTATTAGAAAGTGATGAATCTGAAATAGAATCTTCAGATGACGGTGAACCTATATCCAAACGTTTAAGAATCGATAAATCACAATTAAGTGATGAAAGAATAAAACTTAGATTGAAAAAAGTTTTGAAATCTCAAAATTTAATAAAGAAAACTGCAACAACTATTAAACACAATGAAAAAACTAATATATTTGAACCTCCTGAAAAAGACGTTTCTTCTAGAAAAATTTCATTAAATGTTGCTTCCGTTAAACTTCCTATCCAAATGGATACTTCAAGTGAAGATTCATCTATTAAAGACACAGGAGATAAGAGTGATTATTGCACTAAAGAAGCTAAGGCAGAAATATCTAATGAAAAAGAATTAACAATTCAGGATTTAAAAGAAAACAAAATACCTGAAATTCAGTTAAAAGAAATGACTGTTTATAAAAGTTATCAAATAGGTGAACAAAATAATAAACTTTATATAAAAAATTTAAATAAACACGTTACAATTGAAGATTTAAAAAGAGTTTTTAAACTTTTTGTTACTGATATTGAAACTGAACTAGAAATTAAATTGATGCAACAAGGTCGTATGAAAGGCCAAGCATTTGTATCCTTTTTAAAAGTAAATGAAGACAATATGGAAATAATGCACGAAGTAATTAATTTAACTAATGGATTTATATTAAAAAATAAACCTATGATTGTTTGTTTTGCTAAAAAATGAGAAAACAAAAATAAGAAAATAATAAAATTTGCTTTTTTTATTTAATTATTCATGTATATATATATATATATGTATATATTATATTATTAAAATAATAGTTGTTAATAAATTTTCAAAATTAGCTTATTTATTTCATTTTTTTTTCTGTTTTTGCTTTAAATCCTTATTATCTAACATTTTTGTGTACAATATACCTTAAAGTCAACGATATAAGCAAAATTCTACTACAATTTATATAAATGTATACTATATATGTATGTATATAGCAAAATTCTGTAAGTAAAATATCATTTCTTTAATTTTTTCTTTATTTTTTTTTTTTGTTTGTTTAATACTTTTTCTAAGCAATTTGACTACGTACTAAAAATATTCAATATCATTTTATACCTTGAGTTACATATTGGAAAAATAAAATTTTATATTGCCTGTACGTTGTCCATATTTCAAAGCATAATACATACACAATTTTTACAACAATCTGTAAAATAAAAGCAGACCAAAGCTAAATGTTTTAACTGCAAATGCTTGCGTTTTCATTGCGTATCAAATCTGTGTTTATACCTTTACAAAAATCCTACGATATACAATATAAAACTTGTAATTTTGTAGTTAAAATATGTTTTTCTTTACAATATAGAACTCAAGGATAATAGGAATAACCCTCAAATACACAATTACAAATATAGTAAATTTTTAACAAAACATAATGTGATGAACATTTATTATACAAAAGAGATTTGATGAGATTAATTTTATTTGATACATATTATAATAATTAAATAATTATAAAGATAACAACTGTCCTTTCTAATATTAACTAAAATGAGAGACTCTTTAATTCTTGTAAATTTTCAGAAATACACTTTTGTTTTATTTCCTATTTATGTATAAATTTTATAAAGAATCATATTTGAATTTTATTTTGCATCCTTTACTTATTACTTGTATTAGTAAAGTTTGATAATATTTAAACTAATTAAAAATGAATACACTTACATATTATGTATTCAAAAAATAATAAAATAAAATTTTCTTAATTTAAAATAATTAAAGATATTAATTAAAGATACATACCAAAATAAATAAAACTTTACAAATATCTTATTAAAATATTAAATTTATAACATTTTTCTGTTTTTATATTTTAAATCACACATTTAATTTTATGTATAAATATATCTATTTTTTTTTATTACAGTAATATTATTTCTGTAATTACATTATGTATAACTATAATTTACAATTAATTTCCTTTCCGTAAATATAAAGCTTAAACAATTCAAATAATAGTATCTTTTTTTAAATTAATATTTTTATGTATTATGCAACACAAAAAATTATATGTCAACTATTATGAATAATAAAAGTAATACAATAATTTTTAAAAATTATTTTAATGATTTATATTAAATAAAAATTATGTAATTTAAAGTTATTAAAATTTTATTTTGAATGAAATAATTTGTGACTCTTTATGAAATGGATTTTAATGAATTATTTATTTTCGATGATTATTAATTTAATGTTAAAATATACTCCTATTAAAATACTTTAATCACTTTTTTTCATTTTATCATCTTATTAATACACATATAAGAAATTGTTGAATAAATTTATTGGATAATTTATTACGAATTCTTAAGTTATTTTTTATTTTTAGAGTAGTTAAATTTTTCCTTTAGTAAAATCAAAATTAATTAACAAGATTAAATTATGAAATGTTTTCAAGTACAACTTTGTAAGAAAAACAACTTTCAAATGATTTGTTTTATGAAATCGAAATTTACAAAATGTTTATGATATTAGATGTAACGCTTAACATTTATAACATTGCTACATAAAACACTTCAATCATTTAAACTGATTTGAATTCAATTTTTATTTGTTTATGTGTATATGTAGATTTTTTTAAAAAAATATGTATGCATGCAATTAACCACAACCAAAAGGTTACTTCTTCATAAGGATATCTAATAAGGTATCTAAGATAGTTTTGTCGTAGCACATCGTTGTGGTAAACGTAACACAGTACTTAAAATAAAATTTATAACTAAGTAAACTAAATAATAGAGAAAAATAAATAATAGCAATATAAAAATTTAAAATTGCGTTTTCAATTAATATAATATTATAATAAAATAACTGAAACGCAAAAATTGTCCCCGACGCAGTGTTATTAAAACCCAAAATCTGGGTTGCAAATGAATTGATTGCTTTAACACTAAGAGTTCCAAAAAATCTAAACTTTTGCAAGTACTTGTAGAAAAACTTTGTTCTACATTAGAAATCAATTAGGCCGAGAATGTATTTAACAAGTTCGTAGATAAATTTAAGATAATAAATAAAAATAAGAATTTTATGAAATAATTCTAATAAAACTAATAAATAATTGAATAGTTTTATCAAAGAATGATCAAATCTCAAAAGACATCAAATATCAAGATTTCATGAACTTCAACTTCATTTATTAGGATAAGAAGCTCAGTATTAGACAGTAATACACAGTAATACACACGCAAGTTTAAACTTGTGCAACCTAAAAAGAAATATTAAATTAAATTATGTGAATTTTAAAACTTGTTTTTTAAATTTTCATTGAAATATTTGTTGAATCAACGATGTTTATTATTATTATTTAAATTTTGAAGAGTAAAAGTTGGCATGTTAACTTGCTTACATTTCAAATTTGCAACTAGTAAAGCATATTCTTTTATATGTAACGCATATAATTTTAGTCTTGGAAAAAAACACATATTTTATGAATAACATAAAAACAGGCGTAAACCGAAAAATAACTCTAAATAACTAAAACTATTTCAATAAAAATTCCAGGCAAATTCTTGTTTCCAAAATTGAACCCCATAAAAATTTCTAATCTTGCAAAAAGTATTTGTTGTTTGAAATGTTATAACAGTAGAACTTTTTAAATATGTATTTGAACCTCGATAAATTATCCAATAAATTTTCAGTTTATCCTAAAAATTTTATTATATAAATCTTTTGTTATTAGACGGCAATCAAACGTACACATTTATGTATATTTAGAGAAGTTAAATAATTTTTTTATTCTTGTTTTTTCTTTTTTTTTCTAATTTTTTGTTTTGTTCTAAGTTGGAATTTGTATTTTTAAATATTGAAGCTATTTATTTTTGCTATTTTTCAATAATTTAAATAATGTAATTTACCGCATTTAAGAATATATCCAATCTACTATTACTTGTATATCGAAAAAAAAATTTTAAGCGTCTTCTATATAAAGTAAATTTTTAATTATATCCTTAAAAATCAACGAAAATTTATTTAACTTTTTTGTTAACTTTGTTTTGTACCTATAACATTTGAGATCGTATCTGAAGTTGCCGGTTTTCTTGTGTAATGAACTGGTCGAATTGACTTTAACTGTGTTGTACCATTAAATCTAACATTAATATCACATGCACTTAATGGATGCACACTATTTTCAACAATAGTTTCTTGTGCTTTTACTGGCACCAGTTCTGTTGGTATTGTTATTATATCATTTGATTCGAATTTGCTTTTTAAATTAATATCAATTGGATCATTTGATGATCCAACAACTTCAAGAGATTTTATTGATGTTATCGAATTTCGTGCTGTCATATTTATGAAATCATTATTTAATATATCATTATTTTGTGATTGAATATTAATCTGTGTATTATCAGTTCCAACTGACGGTGGGCTCATCGGTGTACCCATACCACTATCAATTTCAAGCGGACTAATTATTTCACCTATATCAATAGATTTCATTTTCGGTTTATCGTTTAAACTCAATTCGGTTTTTAATTCAGAAACAAGTTTCAAATCTTCCGATTTTTCTTCTTCTGCCAAGGAATTTGTTGTTATTTCAATCGGACACATCCCTTTTACTGCTTCAGAAATTGGTGAAGCAATCGAAGAGGATGGCGATGTGTCGATCAAACGATTCGGTCGTTGATTTAGCTTCTGCTGCTGTCTTATATGTTCATAAGTGTTTCCGAAAAATGATGGCTTTTTTTTGATAGGTGAAGATTGTATAGTATCTGATTCATTTAACTCTTCTAAAACTTTTAATGGGTATCCAAGATTAGAATTCATTGAAACTGATTTTCCAATTTTACGTTCAATAAATATCGGTTTACGACGTTGTTTTTCTATGTCGTCTAATTGCTGTATAATACGGCGGATATCACTAGGTAAATCTAAATCACTATTTCGTTCAACTAATTGTGCTACATAGCGTCCTAAAGTTTGAATAGTTAATTCTAAGCTTTGTACTTGTGATTGTAAGGAAGTTATTTGTGATTGTTGCGAAGCGCGTGTTTTTTCTAATTGAGCAATACTTGATTGAGCGAACTGTAAATAACGGTAAAGCAAAAAATTTTCTAAATTAAAACGTATTCTATATAACTAACTGCTTAATTGAATGAAAGACACTTACTTGAAGCTGAGTTTCCAAATGGTGATTATTTTCTTTTTCCTTTTTAAGCATATCTAAGTGATGATTTGATGATTGTATTTCCTCTTGTAAAACATTATATTCGACTTGGTATTCAGTTAAACTTTTGCTGATTTCCATTGAAAACACCTTTAATCAAAAATAAATATTTCTAAAAGCTATATTTATTAAAATTTGTGTTTAACATACCACTTTCATTATTTGATTCATATAGTTTTCATCAATTTTTGGAACAACTGTTTTCAAATAATCCATAATTTCTTCAAAATTATCTCTAGCCAAAATTTCTTCTTTATGAACAGTTAATAAAGCAATAGCTGCTTTAAATATGACTTCAGGAGATTCTAAAAACAATAAATCAAATATTCTGGCAACAAAACCCAATGGAAATTGAGAACTAAAAACTGTAAGAAGCCATGGTGCTGCGTATAGAGTTGGTGAAACATCGTTGCGATCTAACCATTCATATAAATCTGGTAACTGATCTTTAACTAAGCGTGAGAGTTGATACAATTGCAATTGGAACTTTTTCATGTCTGGCAAGTATCTTTCACGCATTTTACGCCGAAACATCAAATGTTTTAGCAATTGAAAAGCCATTTCCTCATTACACTAAAATAGATTTACAAATCAATTTATATATATATATATACACATATTAACCAAAATTAAACTTACATGTAACAATAAAATGCCGCAAATGAATCCCAAACCCTGGCAATAGCCTAATTCTGGATCTAAAATAGAATAGGCTTTCAATAGATTAAATAAGGATAATTGACCGACTCCTAAAGGGTCCTTATAATACTTATGATTGGGAAATGTTCTACCCAAATCAATGAAAATTGCATGCTGATGCTCTGTAAGATTTTTTAATAACGTATAGTACGGAGTATTAAAGTTTGGAAACTTTTTGGTATCAACTGGGGCTGTATTCATAGAATGCTGCTCTGCTAAAAATGTCCATATATCTCCCCTCTTAGATCTAGGCACCCCATTTTTAATAGCACCGAGCAAAATTTTCGGATCTTTCTTATTAGCCTTTTTAGGAGAATCAGATCCTATTATAAGTTCCCATCGTTCAATTAATTGCTTGTCGCTCTGACAAATCTCATCATAGTCCAATTTAATTTTTTTTATTTCATTTTCATTCTGTCTAGCTTGCAGCATTGCATTTTCTTTCTCCATTCGAGAAAGTAATATTGTTTGTCTAATTGCAGTTTTCCAAAGTTCACGGAGCTCTTCCCGTGTTCTTTTTCCAGTTTTTTGTTCTAAAAGAGAATAAATATCATTTATTCAATATATAATTTTTATAATTTTTAAAATATATTTACGCTGAATGCGCAAAGGCGACATAAAGTCACCTTCATCCAGCTGTTCCAATCCTTTTGATGGCGTTACAACGCTGTTCAAAATAGCTTGTCTCCAAGAACCTTGTGCAGTAGGATCATCTTTTGGACTATTTCCAACTTTCATAAATCTTAAGTAAAAATATTTTTTGAATAAGTCTTCAGATGATTTTTTGAAATATTTTGCTTACATATCCATCATTGGCGATTTCAATTGCTCTGCAGCTGGCTTGGCAGTATTGTTTTGACTAGAATTCCAAGTATTACTTCTCGAACGAAAACCGCCACCATTTTCATTATCATTACTTTCGTTATTTTGAACTTCTTTGCTTGGTGCATCTTTCGCAGTGCTTGCATAGTCATCTCTGCTACTTTTTCTCTTCAATAAATGGTCAAACGAGTTCGTTAAGGATCTTTTTGCTTTCATAAATATTGTACTTCCACCTAAATATTGATTTAAAAATTCAGACCGATTTTCTGCTGTATCATGCACATGTCTTTGCTGTCTTGACTCGCAATGTGCTCTTAGGAGCATCATTAAAAATTGGTTTTGTTCTGCTAAACTATTACTATTTATTTTTTCTGCTCCATAGTACTTTGCCCATATAATATCTTGTTCATCATCACTCAAAGTTTCAATTCGCCGGAAAATCATAGCTTGCGTTTTTTTGTCAGATAAACCTTCGATATCTGTGCATAACTTGTGATACCAAAGCATAGGGCAATGTTCGCACGAGAATATTTGGCTTTTTTCTTTGTTTTTTTGTTCAGAACATGTGATGAAAGCTTGAGAAATTGCTGACACAATGTCATCACAAACATGTTCAGATTGACATTTAAAAACATAACCAATATAGCCCTCAGTATTGTGTCCTTCCCGACATATAATACCAAAATGATCAGAATTTTTATGCCCCTGCGCACAGCTTGCCACATCTTTAAAATCCTTATACAACAAAACTTGTTTTCGATCTGGTGATATCAAACGTAGATCTGATCGTCCAACAAGGAAAACCATGGTGCGATTTTGTTCAACGTATGGCGGTATACAACCATATGACGCAGAGCGATCTCTTTGCTTTGGTACACTAAATTAAAAACAAATATATAAAATATGAAAAACAAATTTAAATACTTGGATTCAACATAGAAAAGTTTCTTTCTTTAAGTGCAAAATAACCAAAACGATAATTATTATTAAACATTATTAAACAATCCATAATTTTAAAGGGTCACACATTAGGCATATTAGAAAAATATATGAAAGTGCGTATTTTATGATTTATTAAGCAGAGAAATTGCAATTATTTGAAATAAAAGATTTGGCTATGCACAGATTTGGGATCACTTATAAGCAGCTTTGTTATGGCCAATCTGTTATATATAATTTTCACTAGCCTTCTTCTAATTTTTTTATTTGTAGTCCCACACTGTCTCTATATCAATTATTTTTACTAAATTGTTTAGTTTAAAAAATACAACGAAAAATAATGTATGAAGAACTTAAAATTTTATGGTAGATCATGGTGGAAACAGCTTAAAAGAATATTCATTTAGAAAATTGTATAAGTAAATTATACTTTTAATAAGTCGTTAAAAATTTTAATTCACAGGTATAATTATGTATGTACGGTATATAAACGGCGCGATAGTTTGTGATGAAAACACGTAATTTGATAGGAACACATTTCACAAATATATTAATAAATAATTAAATTCTTTATATACTAAAACTGAAAATATATTAAAACATTAAATCAAAGTTAAAAAGGATGGTGACGTCCGTGTAATCAAAAATGATTTGGTGGTAGAGTCAGGCCAATTTGAGTTAAAAAATTTTTGTTTATTAAATAAATTTTTAATACTTAATAAATTTATGTATGTTTATAAAATTTGAAAGAAATAATTTTAGGACATTGCTAGCAGTTCCTAAAAGTTTCGAAGCAGTTTAATAATTAACTCCAGTGAATGCCACATATTACGCCAATTACAAGATTCAATTTTAAAAATGATTGGATTGTATTTGTTTTGTGTATTATTCTAATAATTTTACTGGCATAATTTATTATCTATAGTGATTTTCGGCATTCAATGTGTTAAAAAGGATCTATTAAGTCCCAATTGAGTGCTGAATTGTGTATATATGATAAAAATAAAATATAAAAAATGAAATACATATAAATAAATAAACCAACAAAAATCTCAACTATATGCTACATAGTGTGTGTCTAAATATCGTGCACATTTTAATATTTGTAAGCTTTACTCACAATTCAATATTTATTGAGGGCGTGAAAAACTGAGTTTGAGCCGATGACACCGTTTTATTATTATTATTATTATTATTATTGTTACTACTGTCATCGTCATTAATTTGATCGCTATTATTATTTTTTTCTTTAATAACACCCATACTTCTTCATTGTTATAATAAATGTTTCAATAAGAATATTAAAAATAAAATTAAATAAATTAATTCCTTTATAATCAAGCATTCATCATTGAAAATTAGTTTTTAATATAAATATTGGTCCGAAAAGGCACACATTTTTCATTCAATATTTTACTCGAAAATTTCACATACAATACAAAACATAGAAATAGAAAAAGGTAATGCTTAAATAATTCCAAATAATTCTTTACATCTATCTAACCACTTTTTAAGAGTAGTAAACTGCAGTATAACCTAAAATTATTCTGGTTTAAGTACATATGTATAAATATTTGTGCTAAAGTACAAATATATATAAAGAAACTCTCCTCCAAGTTCACTAACATTTCGTTGAGGGAAAAATAAACAGCGTTTTTCAACTTTTAATACCCGATAAACATTAGTACAATTTGGTAAAAAGGAAAATAATTAAAAGTAGCCGAACATTATTGTATAAAGTTCTAATATTATAATATTGGAAAACATTTAAATTTATTTATAAAAATTCCCCTCAACTTGTGTGTGTGCTTCTTCGCAATTTCCAGTATATTTCATCATGCTGAAAATAATTAAATTAATAAAAAAAATGTTTGAAACTTACTCTTTTTTAACTGGTAAAACTATTTGGCTTTGTCCTCTAACTAATTTCTTTGGTGATTTATTCTCTTTATTGTGTTCAACTGCTGACAATTTTCTTTCTTCATCAGAATCAATTTTTCCATTATCATTTGTTTTAGTGGTAAGATCGTTTTGATTTTCGCTTATATCTGAAATTTTTACATCGCTGTCTTTCTCTTTATTTATCTCACATTGTTCTTCATTTTTTTCATCACTCAATTTATTTTCTTCTTGTTCATCAGTATCGTCATTATTAATTTTATCATCCTTTGAACATGCTGCAATATTTTCGTAAGATTCCGATTCACTAGTCATAGATGTTGAACGAGTTTTTGTGGCTGCTGCATTTAATTGTAAGAGACGAGTTCTTTGAGCATCGTACGCTTTAAATTTGGGTATTGCATCGTCTATAAATGTATGTGGTACTCGTTTATGTGACACACGAATTTTTCCAACATATAGAACTTCAAAAAAATGTGTGTGATTTGGTGATATATCACTTAATAGAGATAAATTTGAAGTTACTGAACCTGCTTGTGGAATGTTCACCTAAAAATTACAAAATAGTATTAAAAATATATATTTTTATATATATTTATATTCTGAAATTTATATTTTAAATTTTAATTTGTAATGTTTACCGTTCCAGCTGAATTACTCAGTCCATGAGTATAACTTTTTGAAGCTGACATTTTTGATGATATTAAATTTGGACTAGCATCATGTTGTGCATTTCGGCATGCTTCTGATAATTTCAAATTAGAACCTGGTGTTGAATGCAAACTTCCACTTCCAGAATGTTTTAAAGTACGTTGTAATGATTGATCACTACCGGAAGTTGGAACAAATGACTGGGGAATGTTACCAACTGAACCACCTAAATTATGCACAGGATCGCGCATTTGATGCATCAACTCAGTCATCTGTAAAAAAGAAAAGGAAAACAAAATAAGTATTATAAAATTATTATAAAAAAATTGGTACATATAATTGTTATCAAAGAAGAATAAAAAGTTATTTTATTTTGAGGAATCAATTAACAAACACCCTTGGAATTTGCATGGGATGAGATTTTACATTTTATTATCAGTTTACAACCATAAATCAAAAAAAGACATTCTTAAGCATTACTACACTTATTTTCGATATTGGAAAGCCATAATTAAAAATTAACTCAAAATTCCGAAAGTGAAAAAACACGAAAATAAATATGGTTTTTTTTTCAAGCCTAACACATTTTTAGTTCTTAGGTTGTAAATCTATAATAATTATGTATCTCTTAAATAATTTAAATAGCTTAATTTTTCACAATGTTAAATTTCATTAATATTCTCGAATTTTATTAAAAAAAAATTCAAATGTACCGACTTATACCAGATTTAATTATAACATTTAATATTTTTAATAATAAAATTTTAGCGTCTAATATCTAAAACTTTTTTTTTTACATAATCTTTTGACAAATAATAATAATATAGCTATTTAAGTTCTAATAAGCAAAAAATCAATTAACAAGTTTATTCTAACTTGAACGTAAACGGGAAAATAATTATAATACATTTTGCATTCAAAATATGTGCGCTATATAAAAATATTTATAAACATAAATAAAAATTTTAACCCTTTAATTTTCTCCTCTTTCCAAAATATTTGGAGATGTCTACTCTTTCATGAATGACATTTAATTTTATTATTGTTTTAATTTCTTGCAAATAAATGCTCAAATAATTTTTATCTAAGACGGATGCTAATCATAATTACTTAATTAATTTATTTTCTGTATAGTTGTCTGATAGTGTACTTCATGTACCTAACGTACGCTTTAAAAATAAATTATTTATAATTGAAATATTAAATGACAGTAATTGATTAACAGTTATATTGCAAATGTATGTATGTAAATATGTAAATACAATTACTAATATCTAATACAAATTTATTTTTTTTGGTACATAGCCTAAGTGGAAAATAAATTCGCTAAATGCTTCTTTTTTTGTTTTATCAAATACAAAATATTATGACTTACGATATCACAATTTACATAAAAACATTATATAAAAGGTTTAATAAAAACATTTAACGTCATCATAAATTATTTATAATTGTATATATAAAAATTTCTTTGTAATAATTGTGATTAAAGACCGTAACTCATTAAATATAATTAATAATTAACCGACGAATAATAAACATGGCGAAATGATGATTTTCTAAAATTAAATTATTTTTACATTGTATGTATGTATAAATACAAGATAATGTTAACTTAAAAATTATTAGGACAAAAATTTAAATATTATTTTCATTTCTTATTAACATTTTATTCCAAGCTCAATTATTATTATATTTATATACTTGGTTTATGATTTAAATTAGAATAAATTAAATATTTGCTAATAGATTTGCTAATAAATTAAATATTTGCTAAACAAAATTTAGAAATTGTCGTATAGGAGTGGAAATAACTATAATTTTGGAAAATTTAATTGGAAATTCTTATAAATTGAGTGTGTAATTTAATATATAAGAGATACAGGTTTTACATTCAATTTAAAATGATATTTTGTTCCACAAACTAGAGGTGAAGAACTATATCGATGGCATTATAACGATGGTTTTCAAATATCGAAATTATTGAAGCTTTTAAAAGTCGATATTATACTACTTATCGTTAAATTTAACTATTTAGGACCTTGTTATTGATTTTTTTAAATATTCTATTAAATTTTATTAATCCCACAACAATATTTATGTATATACATACATGTATCAATAATGTACCTGCTACTTATTATTGTTTTCAGTTTTATGAGTGCGATAAACGGTTATGCCCATTCATTATGAATTATTCGTTAAGCTGTCATTTTCTAACTAGATTATCCATTTTATTCTCTCTTTGATATGAACAAACGAAAACAAATAATAATAGCCATGTTCAAACTCAAAATTGAAATTTAAAACTTTATGTCATATTCATGTACTGAGCTTAAGCTTAAATATTAATATAATTTGATTTTCGATTTAGTAATGGTAAAACGCTCAAAAATTTTAAAGTTAAAGAAAAGCAGTTTATGATTTAAAATTAATCTTCATGGTACTCATACTAGGGACTTTACATGTTACAAAATTATGGAGATATCGCGATAGTTTTGCGACAATATATCGAAAATATCGGCGGTACAACATTTTGAACGTTTTCCAACACTATCAAAAACTACTTATAAATGATAAAGTCCGTAATTTTTATTAGTCCCATAACAATTTTTAACTAATCAAAATTAATTATGTATATGGAATCTAAAACCAATTAGAATGTTATAAAATGTTCAGTTTGCATATAAATGTTTATTTTAATTTAAATACTGAATTTAGTATACTTATAAGATAAAATAATATTTTTTTTTTTTAAATAGCGAATTTTTTAATTTAAATATTTTTAAAATAAATGAAATAATTAAGTATATATAAATAGAAGATATTCCTGTTTTATGTTCAATTTAACATGTATAACATATAGATTGTATATAGTACATTGTATGATTAATTATTATATGTATATGTAATTGTATTATTTTGACCATGAAAATTATTTTGAAACAATTATACATATTATGTATTTATAAATATATGTGCACTAAAAAGGAAAAACAAAAAAACAAATTTCCAAAAATTTTTTTGTCTTTGTCATTCACATAATGTTTTTAATATACATACATATGTATATTAACAGTATGATGCTAACATAATTTAATGGAGCCTTGATGTCAGAGTTTGTTTTAGTTTTTGTTTTCTTTTCTCACAGAAAACTCACCATGACATCAGTACATATTAACTATAAAAATTTCATTTATATACCTATGTATGTACATATATACATACATACCAATTTGAATCCTATATATAGAAATAATATATTTATTGCTTACGTTATTGGTATCATTTCGCTATATTTTTTAAAATTATACACATCCATATAAAATAAAAACGAAAACACAAGAAAGGAAAATTAAAATAAAAAAACGGAAAAAGGAAAAAACCAATTTTCATTTTTCCCATTATTAAAATATTCTTTTTTTTTTTTTATAATTGATATTAGATAATCATAATTCTTATTTACTATATAGAATAAATTAAAATTCAAATTTTTTGGAAGGTTAATTTTGAGTAAAATTGAAAAAAAAAAATAAGAAATAAAAATTTTCTTCTTCAGGAAGTCATCATTCTATAAAAGATGCGTCCTTCTGAAGAGCATGTAACATACGTCTCCTTTGGGAGGATGTATAGTACTCTGTTACACATCAGAGTAAAAACTAATCTTACAATAATAAATTAAATAATAAGGGATTTTATATTTATTTTCACTATAAAAATATAAAATCATCTATCAAAAAAAATGTGCCTTACTACTACTCTGAAATATCAATTTATTCCGCTTTATATAGGTCAGTTTAATCGATAGTGTTATACACCTACTATATTATCCTAGTATACATAAATCCGCTCAAATGAAACATAAAACTTATAAATAACTCATTGACTCTTAACTCACTTGACTCTTTTTCATGGCTTATCGTATACAAATGTCAAATAAGAACTTACATATGTGCATGTATAAAAATACTATTGAGAGTACTACTGTCTTAAAAAGTTTTTTTAAAGAAAGTGCTGCTACAGTTACAATAATGAACATGATATGAAAATATGTTATTAATTTCTAACAATAGACCCAACAACAACTAAATATAATGTAAAACAAAATGGATAAAGGAAATATAAAAGACAGTCCTTTTATAGTTCAAATATTATTTTCTATATATGTATTTTAATCTCTAATATATAAATAGAAAATATTTAATATTAGTTTTAAGTATCATTTAATTATAAATATCTACAAATATTTAAAAAAAAAATTTAAATCATGAAGTATTTCATGATACTTAATTGTTAAATTACCCTTAAATTATATATTTATTCAAATACATACATACATACATATAAAAATAAAAATCGAATAACAGATATTTTTCATTGTTTACATACAAATTTAAATATGTACTTACACGTAAAAGCACAACAATAACCCATGTGTTAAATTATATTCAACTTGTATAAATAAAAAATAAGTCAGCGTAAAACTTGGCAAAATCCCAATATTTTCTTTTTTTTATATACATATATACGTTATACATGTATGTATTTTGAACGTTAAATATAAAATGTTATTGGTAATGAATATAATTATTATATATATGTAATTTTATTTAATCTTAATGCATATACATCTATATATACATACATATGTATTTTAAAATGTATATCACTTATATATTTATATAAATATGTATAATTAATTACAATTAGATTATAATGCAAATATAAATGATTTACAAATTTTAATAATAAAAGTTTAAAGAGATTAATATTGAGCCGATTTGGTGTTTTAATTAAGATAAATTGGTAGCCAGGAAGCGTTTAAGTTGATATGATCGAAAAGTGTGTTGACAAGCAAATAAAGAAATCTAACAAAACTGTGAAAACAAAGGCATATTCTGTTTGTTCCGAAATTTTTAAATTTTTCATCACATTTTTTTATTAAATAAATTAAAATTAATTCTAAAACTTTGGTCATCAGATTCTTAAAAATAAGCACCTACCTATGAAACCGTGTTATTTATATACATATGTCTATACACACATGCATATAACTAGTATTATATAAGAATATTTTCGTCCTGAAAAAAGTGTATACATACTGAGCAACCTACTTAATCGTTCAAAATCGTTCCACCATACATTTTTTTTTAATTTATCGCATGCCTTTTCTTTGTTCCCCTTTGCCAGCCATTGTAAAAATTAGGTATGCTACATATCATAGACTCCTATAATGAGAATAAAGATTTCTGTGTACATATACAATATTAAA